GGTTTTAAGGTCAAACTCTCTTGAAGTTGGATTGGTTTAACCTGTCCTATAAATAGTATATGGGTTCTAAGGGATCTCAATATCACTGACCTTTCCCACAAGCTTCATTCGATAGGAGACTGACTTGCAACCAAACAAAACTCAGGAGTCGAGTCTCAATGAGTGTAGCATCGAGTATCTTCTGACTTTGGGAATACACCAAAGACGGCCATCTCGCTACGTCATAATGGCCAAGTTGTTCATTTAAAGGTTCTAAGGCCATTTGACGCTTCATGACACCATGCAGCGGCCCCGTATTCTCCTTGATTAACTCAAGGGTTACTAGTACCAACCAAAGTGTCGCATCAACGTAGCCATTGCTTTAACAGTGTCGGTATACCCCACACAGTTTCCACGATCTATTGCTACTTACCTAAAAGGTTTCCCCAGATCCGAGTGTAGGATCTATAGTACCCAAACAAATACCTTTAAAAGTAAAGAAAACAAACAAAAAAAGAAGCAAAATGATCTAGACCCTAAGGTAAACCCCATTTTTATTATTCCCCAACAGAGTCGCCAGTTCTGTGATACGGTTGCAGAACCGACTGTTAATACTAGTTTGTGTTTTTTGTTCGCAAATGTCGCGGTAAGCAAGAGTCGCCACCGAATTTTCTTTTATCCGGCAAGGAAAGAGTGAAAAGAACATAAAAAGACCTTTTTCGAGATTTTCTGAGTAAGGGGGTAGATTATGGAAAGGGAAGGTGTTAGCACCCTTTCTATCTGTGGTTTTCCACGGGCTCTTAGGTACTTGCTCATTTTTGAAAATTGTTTGTGTTTGTGTGTTTTGAAAGTTTTTGTTTGCTTTATGGTAACTCTTGTATCAGTCCTCAAGAGTGTGATAAAGCGTTTTGAAAAGATTTTTGAAAGTGTGTAAGTGTGAAAATTTCAAGTTTGAGCAAGTACTTAAGAGTCATCTACCTACTCAAAAAAGGATGTTCTTTTCCTCTTTTACTTTAGATAGTGTTATCCTACTATTAGTGAATAGGTAGCCCTATCGTTGAATGTTGAGGGACTATCGAAAAGGAAGCTATGATCATTGAAGGAAACAGGTAAGGATATCTTAGCATTCGAAGGGACTGTCATCATATAGGCAACATCGAGGGACAAGATCATTTCTCGTAAGCAACTCGAGGGACAGTAAGAGACTATGATCTTTTATGATGACTTTTAGATTGAGGGTCTTTGCTAAGATATCCCTACGTTTGAGGGACGTGACCATTGTTTTCCGAGGCAACCAAGTAAGGAGTACCCTAAGGGTGCAAGTGTACAATAATGCCTTTTTCAGATATTTATCTTATGTTAGTGATCTAATGATTAATTTGATTAATCTTGTCATACATATCAAATTTACTAGCAATTATATACAAGCCTAATTACTAACAGTTAATATCTTGTAGAAATTTAAAGTGCGAGAATTGTAAATCTTACGCTATTACATCCCATGAGCAGTTACAATATTTAGAAGGAAAAAAAAAGCGAAAAGATAAACTAACTATTACAAAATCAAATGTGCGACCTATACATTCTTTCTAGAATTTAAATAACAAAAGAAAAATAGAAAAAAAGAAGAGATTGTTTAGAAAGAAAATCAAATGTCCTAAAAAGCCTAAGTATTAAGAAAAATATTTTTGGTATTTTTGTGATTTGATTTTAATATTTAAGACCTAAGTCTAAATTAATTACAAATTAACTATGAAATAAATACTAAAACATGATTAAGTTAAATTAAATTTATTTATGAAAATTAAATTAATTAAAAGAAAAGAACTAAATCTATTTTTTTGTGATTTTATGATTTTATGATTTTTTTGATAAAAAAGAATTAATTGAAATGAAAAGAAAATAAATAATTAAAGCAAAAAAACAACAAAAGGATGGGCCATGTTGTAAAGAAAATGGGGGGATGCGCTAAGAAAAATCTCAGGCCCATTAGCAAGAGAGCCCAGGCGCTGGAGAAATGTCTTTAGAATCATGTGTATCCCTCCCATGAGGCCTATCGTGGGTTTGGATTTAAAATCCACGTATCACAGAATCCGAAGCTCAAAAAACTTATAGCCCTAACCATGCCATCTTGTGCATAGGGTGTTCATCTGCACATGCGATCGTCCTAACCTATTCTAAATGGTTTCACAAACACATATCAATGCACAAAAATAATTTATATGACATGAATAGACAATTTGAGATTCAAGAACATTTTACCAAAACCGGTACAATTGGATGTGAGAGTTGTAGACGTGGAAGGGCTTTGTTATGAGCCTAGTTCAACTCTTGGGAGCCTCGGGGATATGAATGGATCCTTTGTTTTACTTGAGAGCACCTGGATGTATGGTTAAGAATTTTTCAACTTTGAGAAATTTCTGAGAATTTTGTAGAGCTTTGTTATGCAATGGTTTTTCTAGTCATTCTTCTGCCTTTGTTTGCCTTTATATAGAGAATGAAATAGGAGCCAACAAGTATGGAAAGGGACAAGGTAATCATGCCCATAAAATTAATATTCCAACATATTGAAAACTTGCCTTCTTTGAATGATTCTTGTCTTTTGGATGCCTTGCACGAATCTGGACATGTTGTTGGCTTGTATTCGGGCTGACAAATAAGGAATGGAATCAAGTTAATCATGCCATGGTTTAAACAAGAAAACAACTTTAAAACTTTCCAAATTTTTAATGTTTCTTCCTTTCTTGAGTCCCCACGAAATTGTCAAGGTTATAATGAGTTGTCATGAGTTGTCTTGGATCTTTAGATCATTGAAACAAAAAGTCCAAGCCTTTATACCATTGTTTCATATTTTATTTGATTTTATTTGCATTTAAATGAATAAAAATTCAAATAAAAGAAATAAAAATCATAAAAGTATGTGAATGGATTTATAGATCCTCTAACACCTTATGAACATTTTTGAACATCAAAAGTTAGGCCCACTAGTTCAAAACTTCAAGTTCGCTCACTTTGCATTTCACGCATTTCTTGAAAATTGCCAAACTTGTAAACCTCATAACTTTCTCAATTTTCATCTTTTGAATGTGATCTTGAACGTTTTGGAAAGCTAAAGATTTCCTCTACACTTTCTCTTTTAACCATTTTTTCATTTAGAGATATTATCTTGATGTAAGTTGCCTTGACAAAAAGTGTCTTATATTGACTTTTTGAAAATGACATGTTATGTATGAGCTTGTATCTTTCAAATGTTGCATCTCTTGAACTTGAGGACAAAATAAAAGTTGTATGTAATTGGATTCTGTTAAAAATGAGCTTTGGTTGGGGGAAAATGGATGAAATATGTGAAAGTTATGTCTGGTCAAAGTTCAGTAGACTTTTCCTATAGAAACCCTAATTTAGCAACTCTTGACTTTTGATAGATTAGGAGCATTTCTTGAGGAATCATGATCAACCCTTGATCAAATGATGGATATCACTTCAAAATGTTGATGTTGACCAAAAATATTGAAGTTTGACTGTATATGGGCCACAATTGACTTTTGCCCTAGCACAATTGATTTTCCAATACTTGAGCAATTGACTGAGCAAATTTATTGTGCAAGGCATGAAATTTGGCATGGATGATCTTGAAGACATATTAGGACCATGGAAATCATTTGAGACCTTTGGAGCTCAACCATATTGATGAAAATTGGAACCCTAGTTGGGGGGTTCATTGCCCTAGGAGGAGAATTTGTCTAGTCAATTCTTGATCAACCTTGAGCAATTGAGAATCTCTAGGAGTATGTCTTGTGTGAAAATGGGAGGGCAAATTTTGGGGTACAACAGGCGTCATTATTGAAGAATGGAGCTTGAAAGATGAAGAATTAGTAAAGATGTTTTGGAAGAAGAAGTTCAAGAACACGCATATTTGGGGATTCAGAAGAGGAAAAATGTTGAAAATGAAGAGGTGGAGTATTTATAAGAAGAAGAAAAAGTTGTTTCATTTTCATTTTGGAAAATAAATGAAGAAGTAGTGGGACATGTGTAACTTTCTGAGAGGATGCATAAACGGTTGCCTATAGAGTTTCCTCCATACTCCTATTTGTTAGCTGGAAATTCGACGCGCAAGTTTGAATAATGGCAAAGGTTTCTTTAAGAGAAATCAAGAGTATTTGAGATGTTTTAAGTTTGTTTTAGACAGAAGTAAATGATGGTATTTCGACTGAAGTTTTGGTGAAATAGTACAAGGTCAAAACTCAGTGTCTTGAGAATGTTTCGAAGCGGGTTCGACAGAGATATTTGAAATGAGGTTGATAACAAAGTGGCCTTATTCGTTCTTTTGAAAAGGACACGTGGAAGCCCGTGAAAGATAGAATGCATGCAAGCAAGAACGTCTCACCTTCTAAAGAGAAGAATGTTCGTTACCGTTAGTGTCGAATTAGTATAAATAAGAGTTTTTAGTGTTAGAATTTTGTGTGTTCAATATGTACAAATTACTCATATTTACTCAAAGTACCAAAGTATTATCGAGAAACGAGTTTATGAGAAATATACGTATGAAGCACCATATTTACGTTCAATGTCAATTTATTTTCATAAAAGTTATTTACATTCTTTTTAGATTCCAGTCGAAACTTCTCTATTTTTGTCATTTCCATAAATCATTTTATTACTATTTTCTAATTCAGTTTTTACTTTAGAAGAACTTAAGATCTAGAAAAACTCAAACAAAACTATACACTATTATCCTATAATAAATCTAATACATGATGTAAGTAATCAAAGACATTAGATTTTGAAAGACTAGCACTTATTTATTAAATTTCACGTTAAATAGAAAACAAATTTTCTTATTCTATCTTTTAAAACACAATCAAACCTTTTATGAAACGAAATATATTGAAATAGATTGTGGAATTATAAGAAAAAGATAATACATTAAACACCCAAACAAGTGAAGTTTTTCGTTGGAGAAATTACAAAACAGAACCGTTAATAATAGATACAGTTGCTTGCAACTTGTAACTTGTAACTATCTAACCATCGGTGGCGGAGGAAGTAAAAAGGCCATTAATAACCTTCTTCACCACAGCTCCTCTTTTTGGAAGTACCATCGGTTTTAGACCCTTCATCATCGTCTTTGCGCCATTAGAAGAGGAGTTAGAATTTCCAGATTTGGTGGGTTGATGATGCGATGGTGGTTCATTTGAACCGTACTGTTGCCCCTGCCTGGTTTCACTCATCCTTGTCTTGTCTGCTCAATACTTTAGCATTCAAACGACACCCACACAGTATAGTGAACTCTGATAAATAAATATTCATATGTTGACCTTATCCTTTTAAAGCTTCCAAGTCAAAACAAATATCTTCATGCTTTCAACGCTTTTCACCACATTTTGTGTGTGTACTCATTAGTGAAGTGATTTAACTTTAACTTTAATAATACAGCCAAGAGACATCTCATCTAGAGACAATTTATTACCATAATAATTAAAAGAATCAAACATTTCCACTAGGCTAGTGTAAACTCAACATTTTTTCAAAATAGTTACATTAAGAATCGAATCATAGTATTGTAACTAAAACAAACCAAATATTTTTCACTAAGCTAGTGCAAATATGTAAAGATCTAACCTGATCAGACTTGGACCGTCACGGTTGGTTTCGAGTTGAAAGTTTTGAACGAGGTGGGGGGTACCTGCAAGACACTCTGATACTGAAGTAAGTAAGAGCACGAGCAGACAATAGTAAATATGGGTAGAATGATGAATACCTGACCCTTTGGAAACAGAGGGTATGTATAGCCCCCAGCGCTGGGCCAAGGTTCCTTCATTGGGCCGGGCAGGTTTGGCCCAATGGAGGAACTGCCAGGTTCTACGTGCGTAGTGGGAACCCGCACGTGGTCCCCTCCCTGGATGTTCGGCGTGAAGTGAAGGCGGACAGAGACGCGGTCTTTTCGGGGTCTCGTTGGGAGTGCAATGGAATGAGTCTGCCCTAGTTGGGGTGCTCGCGGTGATGTCGAGCTGGACGGCAGGATGTCGAGCTGGACAGTTGGAGGTCGAGCAAGTAACCTCAGGGAGCACGTCGGACACGACTGTGTCCCTTTGGTCGGCGTGGTCCTCAGCAAGTCCATTTGGATTGGGCCTTATCAATGTTATTGGGCCTGTCGGGCCCAGTCCAGAACAGGAGCCCCCCAAGTCGTGGTTCCTTGGTTAGGAGCCATGGCTTGATCTCAGGTCGTTTCCGTTTCGGGGTCTCGCGCCCGGGTCAGAGATGCAGGTCCTCGAGGGCCTCTCCGTGTCGTGCTCGGAGACAAATCTTTCGTGGTGGATGCTCGGGGAATCCTCTCCGGTGCGCATCTGTCGAGCGCACGGGGTATCTTTCGGGAACTGTGCCGCCACCCTATGATGATAGGGTCATCATTGCCTTGGGAGCCGTGCGTCGAGGAGAGGAACTCCGTGGTTTCCCGAGGTGACGTTTGGTATTCCACGTCATCACTATAAATAGGATCCTTGGGCCCCATAACGCGTTACTACTCTTTGCGCTCCTACTGCTGCTGTTCTTCCAGATTTTCATAGCATAGCTGCGATTCCCGTCACAGATTCCTTCCCTCCGTTGCAGAACTCACTCCCTGATTGCAAGTAAGTGATTTATCTTCTTCGTTTTCCTGTTGTGATGCATGATTTTCACCGTTGTAGACGTTTTAGGGACTGTGCGCGTGGGACTAGCCCGGTATATTCATGTTTAGCTCGACAAATTCATGCTTAGGACCGGCAAACATATGCTCGTGGCCGGTAGATACATAGTTTAGGTTACAATCTGAAGTGCTGCCCGGGGTCTTCATGATCCAGGGCGCCTGATTCATGATCGTGGCCGGTATGTTCATGGCTCTGGCCGTAGGTTTTATGATGTTGCTCGCCATGTTCATACCTTGGGTAGGCATACTCGTGAATGACCGCGTTGTCGGTTTGCTTAGGCGGTTTGGAGAAGGTCTCATCGAGTTATCCGGATGTCGGGGAGGCGACTGCTATGTTGTTGCAAACTAACTTTTGTGGTCGTGCATGGAGCGACGTGGTTTGTCGTACACTACATCTGGTCCGTTACGTCGAGCGTATGGTTTCGTGCCCAATTGACTGGTTTCCCGTGCTCTGCAGGTAACCATGGCGGACGAGCCGTGCTCCTCTGGACGCCCCGAACGGGAGGAACAAAGTGCCGACGAGGCGGTGAGTTTGATCGACACTGTCGACGACCCTCTGTTGGATTGGGTGGGCGACGAGCCCAGAGGAATCGCGTCGATCTATAGCCGGCGTAACCAAAAACCATATGTTGTCCTCGAGGCAGGCCACAGTCAGCCTGATTTTCAAAAGAATTTCGTTGTTATGCGGCCGACCTCCAATGCTCGGATCTGCTCGGTGTACCCCGAGTATAGCTTCCCCATGTACGAAATTGCGTTCAAAGATCTTGGGCTGCAACTGCCCTTTAGTGACTTTCAGACCGGGGTCTTCACCCATCTGGGGCTGGCCCCGTCGCAGCTACACCCGAACTCGCTCGCCTTTATCCGGGCGTTTGAGCTGACATGTCGTTTTCTGAGGATTGGGGCGACTATACCGCTCTTCTTCAGAATTTTCCATCTGCAGCGCCAGTCCCGAGGAGGGAAGCACAGCTGGGTCTCCTTAAAACAGTCGAGGAGACTATTCAAGATGTATATGGACTCCGTAAGGGGTTTTAAAGACAAGTGGTATATCGTGAGGCCGGTTACCACGTCTGCTTTAGAATCCCTGTACGAGGAGGAGGCGCCCATAAGTGATGATGACAGGGAGGCGATTTTAGACAACGACGGGTATCCCGTGATGGCCCACACGGCCAAGTTCCCTGTGCATTGGATGTTCAGGCATTACGAGCACGGGACTGGATACTATCATACCGCTGCGAGCGACATGTGCTCCGAGGATGAGAAGGCGTACGACACTCTTTGTCGGTTCGTTGACAGCTTCCACCCCGCCAGGTGAGCCACGAGGGAGGGGGAAGATGTCTTGGACGAGGAGGGTTATCCGACATTCGAGTCCCGACTGATCGATACTAAGGCACTCGTGGAGTGCCAGTCGTTCAGACAGGCTGCTCGTCTGCTAGGTCGTTTGTTGCTTAACTTTCTTTGCTTGTCATTTATTTATGAACTTGCTCGACACTAACCCGTCTTTTATTTTGTGCAGGTTCGATGGACGGGCGACGGGAAAGACTCTTGAAGCTGTCTTGCGACCAGAAGCGGGGTAGGAGGGTCGTGAAGGCTCCCCAGGCAACAAGGATGGGCCCGCCGCATAGTCCGGGCGCTCCTCAGGTGGTGAGGGTGGATTCGTCGCCCAGGTCGGGGGCCGCGTCGGACGAGATCCCAGAGGTTCAAGAGGTCGAGCCACATGTCGGCCTGATACAAAGAAAGAGGAACCGGGTGGAAAGCGGGCCGGCGGTCGGCGAGGACACCAGCGCCGTCAGGTCCTTCGGGTTCCCCCTTGCTTCAAAGAGGAGGGTTTCTTCGAGAGATTCCCTCTGTCCGTGGTTGCCGACGAGGCTGAGACTATCAAGAGGATGAGTAAGGAGGATCGAAAGAGGCACCTGGCCGCCAGCATGGCCGGGCTGGTGAAAATGGCCGAAATGGCCCTGGTGCTGTCCGAGGAAGGGGAGGATCCTGTCCGTATTGAAGAACTTGAGCAGGAGAAAGCGGCTCTCACCTCGAGCTCGCGGAAGTTAAGGACTGCCCTGGAACGCTCCGAGGAGATGTTCCGCGAGCAGGCATCGCTGCTGGCCGCTGAGAGAGAGATGCTGGTCCTGGAGAAAGAAAATTCAGGGAAGCTAGCCGAGGAGGGAGAGCTTCTCCGCGCGAATAGGGATCGTCTGGAGACCGACATCTGGCGTCTGACCCAACAGATCGAGGACATGAAAGTCGCCATGCTTCCTGCCGAGGACGAGCCGGAGGATATAGCGGCTTTGAAGAGTCGATCGGAGCTGGTCGCCCATATCCGGCTACTCGAAGCAGATTGCGTCGGTGCTCTGGAGGAGGGGTTCGACTCCGCAGTCGGCCAACTTTCCTTGTTAAACCCTGGTTTGGTCACTGAGGGGACGGGATACACGCATCAGATCGTGGATGGCGCGATCGTGCCCCCGCCCGACTCTCCTGTTGTCGACAATGATGGTTCCGAGGAAGCCTGATTGTAGGATAGCGGGCCTGCGTGCCTTTGATATCTGTATTTTTTGAGCCTGCGTGCCCGTTGGTTGTACTTTATGAACATCGTCGGCCTTCTTGGTCGGTTTATAATTATTTGCTTTGTTGCCTTCGGGCATTTTTTTGAATGAATGCTGTTTTACATTTGATCGTTTGCCCGTGCTTGAAATCTTATATTTTTGCATAAAATTTAGCCTAAGTTACGGGCCCGAGGAGTTCCTGTAAGTGGCTGTGACTTAGCTGGCGAGTTTGCCCGCCTTTCGTTTGCATATGTGCCCGGCCTTCTCTCGATGGCCAGAATCTCCTAAGCGTTGCACTCGAGGGGAGAGACTTCCTTTTGACCCTTTTCTAGATGGCCCGTCATTCTTGACGACTTGTCGGGAAGATGGAGCGGAGTTGCTCAGTCGGGCGCGAAGCCCGGTAGGGACTGTTTGCCCTTGGTGTGAACTGCCCATCGCGAGCTGGGTGTTCTGCCTTACAGGTACTACGACGGTGAAGCTCGGTGTAGTTGTCCACGTCGGGCACTATCGATTGGTCTCATTTGCCGAGCGATGCTGTGCGATTTAGCCGTATGTCAGGCTTGTACCTCAGCCTTTATACGGAGTCAGACGTTTTTCCTCGTTGACCGAGCGCGGGTGCCGTTGGTCGAGGGTCCTAGGTGTTGGTAGTTTTTAACTGTAGTACTGCTTTAGCTTAGCAGCGTTCCAGGGTCGTGGTAATGGCTCTCAGTCTAATTGCTCGAGATAGTACGCCCCGGTACCAATGGTGTCGTGGACGCGATAAGGTCCTTCCCAGTTCGCGGCCAGCTTCCCTTCGCGGGAATCCTTCTGGTTCCTACGTAATACCAGGCTGCCGATTTCGAACTCGCGCTTGATGACCTTGTCGTTATGGCGTAGAGCCACTCGTTGTTTTAGGGTGGCTTCGCGCAGGGCTGCACCAGATCGGATTTCCTCGACTAGATCGAGTTCGTCCCTCAGTGCCTCGTCGTTCATTTCTTCGTCGAGGGGAATTTCGGTCCGTCTGGATGGT